TGCCTCAATCCCCACGAAGACGGTGATCGTACCGGAATTCCTTTCGGAACGAAGGTCTTCGAGTTCGATGATTCCCATGACACCTCCGACTTGACCGTATGTCGATTTCAATATCCAGGCAGATGAATCCCATCGATTGCGGGGATAGGCGGCTTTTACACGGCGGGGCCCAAGAGAATCCGGGTTGACATTGAAGTCCGGTACCAAGTGTACAGGGTTCTGGCGGACATTGACGGTCTTATAACCTTCTTCGGCCAATGGTACCTCAAGACCGGGAGGCTTGAGGAGTTCAATGGATTCAGGCAGTATACGTGCGTACTGATTTCCCCAAAGGCGCTTCAGGTAGATGGCGGGAGAGCTTTCAACACCTTGTATTATTCTGCTGCAGTCCAGAATGGCGTGAAACCTGTCTGATAATTGGATGCCACCCTCCCCGTCAATTGGTCGAAGATATAGCTTGAGATTGAGGCCTTGGTTGGAGATTGTTGTTGGCATCGTCTCCCCAGAAAGCAGTGGCGGCAGCGGTCTGATTCCCGTGCTCTTCAAAAAGTGCATGGGAGAGTCTGCTAAAAGACCTGACAAAAGATCCTCAGTATTTGTGCTTTTCGAGGGCAGCAAATCAGTCTTTGTCCAAGCAAAGATTGACTGATCGTCTGTTTCCCTCATGATGGCCTCTTGCAATCGAACAAAGGCGCGTGACCCTTCTCCGTAAAGGAGGGGCATGTTCACCGAGAATACTCCCAGTAGGCAATATGCCAAATCCTCGACCCTGGTTGTTTGTCGGAGAGCAGCCCAACTCATTCTCGTGGCAACACTCAAATCCTGGGGTCCCAAGCTGCCGTCGAGCACTCGTTCATCTATCCCGGTAATCTCTCCCAGAATGTGAGGCCCGATGAGGTTGTTAGATGAGGTATTGAGTTGAGATCCAACTTTGCTCCCGAGAAAATCCCACTCAGCTGAGAAAAATTGCATGTTCCTTGGCGCAATGAGTTCCTGCAGTGTCCATCCCCTCGTAAACCAACGAGAACTTCTGATCGTGGCTTCTTGCCATGCTCTTCCGTTGTTGCGCGTAGAGACGTCAGATAAGAAGGCATAGCAGATGCCAGCGCCCTGGTACCATTGGTACATAGAGTTGATGGCTTCGGAGAGTTCGGCAGACGAGGACTTATCGATGCAGCAGGTATCGATCCAGATGTAATCGTATCTGTCAGAAAGCGCTCGCTTGGCTGCTTGTTCAACCTTGAGAAACCCCTTCTTTGTCTTCACCTGGCTGGAAAATTGGTATCCGTTCTTTGCCTTGAGAAAATTCCCCATTGCCTTGATTTGACTATAGATCTGGTCCAATTGAGGATTGAGATCTTGGTAAGTGATCTCTTCCTCTCCCCAAGTATGTGACAATATGGCGTAAGGCGGTATGGCGTCGTTGTTGAACTCAAGAACCCGAAGGGTTCTCGCATCAAGCAAGCGCATCCTATGATATTGCTGATGAGAGCAGCCTGGGCGTCAAACACACGTTCCCGGTAGGTCGGGCTGGTATATTTCTCCAGCGCTGCTCAACGCCACTGGAAGTGAATTTGAAGACGTTGATCGGTAGTCTCTGCAAAGGAGAAACAGAAGAGTCGATGTGCTTGCGGGCGGTCTCGATGGTTGTAGCACTACGCACACATGTAGTTGCACATGGCGATGGTTTGACATGCTCATGGGAAGCGGAAGCATGAACTACTCGTCGTGTTCTGCAAAGCCAAAACCCCGCTACGGCGTCGCTTAAATGCAGGCAAGTCACTCGTCATCCTGCAAATCGCAGATAGCGCTTTTGGCAGATAGCGTGGTCAGCCTGCAAGCCCGTCAGCAATCGATACGTGCGATTGGCTCTTCAAGTCTGCATGCTGTGATTATCGTTGCGCAGCGAATCAAGATCGAGCATTATCTGTTGCCTGATCTTACCCACTTTTATCTCGGTCTGCTTTCTTTTTCTGGCTCCCAGTGGTTTAGGTCGCATCTTTCATCATTAACTCTAGTACTTGAGGATAGATCTTCACAATGCAATGTCCGGCGTGGATCATGAGCTGCAAGCACAGCAACTTGGGCAGAATCCCTGAATGTGTCAGGAGATTCATTTTAACCGCGTTTAAAATGGGCTCATCAGAAGATAGTCTCATTACAAGCCTAGTGCAGAATTAGCCCACGTCGGAAAGCTCATACTTAGCTTTAGTCAAAATGAGCCGAATGGACTTTGAAACTAGCATTCAGGACTCACCTTGTCCCCCCCTTTCTGGGTGTACGCAACATGCAAATGGATTGAAGTTTGGGCTAATCCCATCGGATAGTTTCGGTTTGCCCTAGTAAGGTGAAGATCGCAGTGAAGAGGGCTCCAACGCCTTGGAACATCGCAAAGCATCAGTCCGTATCGAATCCAACAGCAGTGATCAAAATAGGATGGTCATTAGAGTCTAGGCTTCCTAGAGAGTGTTAATTATGAGAACGGGCTCTGTAACAACCGCACTGAACAAATTTGCATTACAAGAGCGCCTGGAATTGGAAAGGGGCAACGTTTCCAGCTTCTTGATTGCGGTTAAGGATGCGAGCTTCATGCCGTGAGGCACTGAGTTGCCAAGGTGGAGGAAACCATACATCGGCAAGACCTTATGCATATCACACCATCGCTCGCGTGGACCAATGCGATTGCATAATTCAGTATCCAGTCGTACACAAATTCATGTCCAAGCAGTCTCTGCAAAGCCCTTTCACCAAACGTACTTTCGCTGAGACCGACTTGAGACCTGTTGCATCGCCGTTTTTTGTAAAGTACTTGTACATCTTGATTTAAACATTCGTACGATCTGCACATTGTGTTCTGATTCTAAGACAAGGCTCAATATCAACCTGGGTTGTGTGATATGTGTGTCATTCCATGAAGCCGTAAGCCTTCGCTTACCTCTGCACACTAGCCGTGCATAAATCTTTCCCAGCACAAGTGGAAGACCTATGCTATTATCCCTATAGTCCTCTCCTTTCAGACATCGATTGGTCGACTACGGTCAATTCCATGGCAGAAGGGGAAGATAATCAAGATATTCGTAGAAGCCACCTGGCTTACATATATATTATTCCAATGAGTGTGCTTTCCGGGGCATAGCCACCATGCGACGGCTGTAATCGACAATAAGTCTCTGTGTCAGGAGTTCTCCACGACCGTTTGGACAAGTGGTAATGTGGGAGTTAAGAAGTAGGCTCTAGACTGCGTTTTGGATTATCGTCCAATGTGTTACTTGGGATGAATCTTAGCGATCCCCATAGCAAGCGAGGTCAAACAACAAGAACCAAGTGTTCAAATATAAATAGGCCAATAAAGACTGCCTCCAATACCCCTCTTTGCCAGGTGTTCATCTTCTTTAGACATGAGATTGAAGACACTGCAACATACCTTTGATTCTACCCTGAAACCTACTGATCAACTCTACACCTCGAAATGCAGACCACGTTCTTTCTGCTGTCAGGAGCCACTGTTGCTCTCGTAATGGGAGCCTCGATCACGATGCCACGTAACGACGGTTACAAGATTGATGACTTGGGTGACGGCATTTTTACTGCATCTTTCAGTGAAAGTGGCCTCGTTAACGTCACTCAAATCGACGGCATCAAAGTCCCCGTCGCCACCGAAATCCTGCCTCGATTTGGGCCAACCCGCCGAGACATGCCAATCACGAGGTTTGGATGCTACCGTAAATCCGTGAACCATGGCGACTGGGAGAATGTCAGAACCAACTTCAAGAACTTTTGCGACGGCGGAACTGTCATTCCTGGCGGCGGTCTTCAGCACGCCGTAAGTGGCAAGCAAGTCGCGTTTGCATGCTCGTGGGGAGGAAACAACCCATGTAGTGGTGGCGAGTTCGACGAATTCCTTGATTACATCAATAAGAATTGCGGGGGCTGGTATGGAGGCTGGGTGAACATGGACAGGTGGTCGAAGCAGTATGGCATGCAGCAGAGGGGTGAGGCGATCTGTGGAAAGGGTGATCGTGTTCAATGGCCAAAGCTATAAGCACTCATGTTTGGTGTGGTACTTCAATGTAGGAATCCAGTATGGTAAAGGAGAGTTCTGGCGGTGTCTCTCATTTTGTAAATTCACTTTAAGCTATGGACGCCCAGGTGTATGAATCAACATTCATTTCACCCAGCGGCGTTCAATAACCAACGTAACTATCCTGTCATGGAGATTATCGCGTCACTGAGTCCGCGGAGAAGTCTCTAAAATCCGGCTGCCATACGTGATTACTCGTCCTGTGAAAGTTGCTCTACTCAAGACTCACACCGAGCATCGCGAGCTCCTCGCATCCCTTGTGGCCACAGGCGATCTCCACAAGCAATCCCCGTTAATCTCTAAGAAACTAAAGAGGAGACCAGCGGCTGGCTCATTGCGTTCAATCAGGAAAAGGGTATCCTCAGAAGAGGCCGTCTTAGGTTTCGTCATGTTGTTAATTCAACAGCTAGGCAAGCAGGAGTTTGGAGCTGGAAGCTTTCGAGGTTTACACTAGCCAGGACAATGTCGAACATGCGGGTTTCTTCTTTCTGGCTCGGATGACCCTAGTGAGCGGTCACATAGACGCTTGGAATTGAGGATGAAAAGAACCACAAGCCTGAAGCGAAAGCTTGTTTTGATAATAAGCGCCACACCACGATCAAACACAACAGGGGTATCGGAACTTTTCCAGTATTTGCGGAGTCCATAGGTCGGCCCAGCGGTCCAGATTACTGTTTTGGCCATCATTAATCTAATTGGCACATTGCAACATGCGATGGCGCAAATTACTCTGTCGCAGCGGTTAAATCTTTGGTTCCCATTTTCGTATCAACTGAAGTGATGGAGTCCGAGGTACGAGCAAACAAAACTTCACGATCTATATAAGAAGCCATTGGCATGCTGTTGACCTAATGTTAACAGCACACTCAGCAATCACTTCCCATCCGCTCTTTTACTTCACACTCGTTCACTTACCGCCATGAAGCTCTCGAACCTCGCCTTCTTGATTCTCGCCGCCGGCGGCGCCTTGACCGCCCTTGCCGCGTCGGCAGAGCAGGTCGCCCCCGTGGGCCTGCGCGCGCGTTCACCCGAGTTTTTCCAGACTATCCACGACATGATCAATTCGATTGCTGAGGAGGACGGGTTCAGCATCGAGAAGCGTGGCACTACCACTCTTACCTCAAGCAAGGATGGCGTCAACGCCAGGGGATTCTACTACTCAGTCTACAGCCCCAACGTCGCCACTGTTAAGTACACCAGCGACGATAACAGCGGCGCGCGGGGACTCGACTGGACTTGCAAGGCCGAGTTCCTGGCCGGCAAGGGTTACAGGTCAACCACCCCTCGGTAAGTGCTCGAAGACTGGGAAGTTCGCCGGTGCTTTCTTCAAAAGACTAATCATTATGTACCACAATTCTCTCACGTACTCCGGCTCCTTCAAGGCCACCGACGACTGGACCCTTGCCGCTTACGGCTGGACGACCAACCCCGTGACCGAATGGTACATCGTCGACGCCCACGGCTCCGGAACTCCTGGCAACGACAAGCCGGTCGGCACGGTCACTAGCGACAGCGGCACATACGATGTTTACGACTTGTACTACTCCAAAGTCCCTGAGATCTACGGCGCTACCTCGTTCTACCAGTACTGGTCTGTCCGCCGCGCTCAGCGCACCACCGGCGGTATGATCAATGTCGCGAAGCACTTCAGCGGCTGGAAGTCTCTTGGCCTCAAGCCTGGAGCTCCTGTGTTCCAGATGCTCACCCTTGAGGGCTTTTCTGGCAGCGGTTCGCTTTCTTTCAAGACTAGCTAAAGGACTTGATCATTAAAGCGCTTGCTTAGCGAATGCTGTTCACGGGTCTGGAGTCTCCCTGCTGAGCACTGCGTGTCACTGAGAGGCGTGTTCGTGTTCACGCGACATAACCCCATTTACTTACTTTCACTTCATACCGTGTTTATCGCGGGTATTTATTCGAGAAATCCGTACATCAATCAATTAGAAGTTTTCCCTTTGGATTATCTGTTGCGTATTCTTTCTGTTGAACGCACTGTTGAGTCTGTTGAGGCCAGGCCCGGTATCAGCTAAATTCGAACCATTTATTTCTTTCTCATTAGTTGCCACTCATTACCATCCCCGGCACTATCCAGACGTTAGACCGCGAGTTCCAGAGTTTCCTACAGCATGGCAGTGATTTATCATACCCCATGTTTGTTCGTCAAAGCGATTATCTGCCGTGGGCTACAACTTTGGGGCAGCAAACCTTACTTCTGTGTCGTTCCATTTTCCTCCTATCCACTCTATAGCAATATTTCCCCATACGTAGAGTGTACATACACCTACCTGAGGAAACTTCTAGCAATTCTCCAAAAAGAGCCTCGAAGCATCGCATCATTGGCCGAGCTGTGTCGGCCCTGACCAGGCATGAGCCACCACCACCATTGTCGCATTCGGTATGGAGGGCAGAACATCCTCGGTCGATTAGGTCATTGCTGGGGGTCCCGGACTGTCTTTCGCCCAGTGAGCTATGAATATCCCATCAACGGCGATAACCCCCCAAACTCAGCTGAAGTTGTCTCGGGAAGCATATCTAAACTCTGAGCAAAGCCGTTGCACCTAACCCACGTGCGGGCAGAAACGTTACCGGTCGGCAGCCGGGAGATACGTATCTCCTCGCACTGTGAGGGTGTTCATACGTCGAGATTAGCCTCGCAAACTCAAACCAACGTCCCGTTCCGTCTGGCTTGGACTCACTCTATTGGAAAAAGGCCTCTTCATTCCAGGTCTGAAGATGGACCGACTGGAGAGGGAAAACATTGCCTGTTTTTCATCTTGCCTCTCGCTCATTGGTGCAGAAGATCATGCATGTTTCAGCCACCGACCGTTTCTTTCTGTGTTCCGCCAATGAAACAGGACGAACAAATCATGTTTCACATAGACGTTGGAACGGTTGTTCGATGCCGAGAAGAAGGAAAAGACGAAAGAGATGTTTACCTGAGGGCTTCTGATACAGAGATCATCAGCATCGATCCAGAACAACATCGTTCCTTGTTCATTTGTGCGCACCCTCCAAGCTGCCCTGCCATGACTCGGCTGTTTGCTCCTCCGTTACTCAGCCCCCCGACAACGTGCCACGCCACTTTCACATCCTCCAACGGAATGAGGAAAACGAACGGTGTTAGTGCAGGTCGCGAAAGCGCAATGTCGAGGTGTGTTACGGGTTTGGTCTCCCCCCGTGACTGTAGAAGAGAACAGTCGATAGTTTGAATGAAATCTCAGGTTTGTTCTCGTGCCCTGCTGGAAATTCCGCAAAGTTATATCTTGGCACCTAAAATGGACTTCACTCAATCATCGGCGGCGGACGCCCGGCCGTGTGGGTTCTCCGCACGTCTCCGGAACTGACTCCGGACTCCTCCCAACACATCTCCGTGACGTCCGTGGCGCGACCCAAATCCTGCAGCCGCTCGACCCCCCACGAAGGTTTTCCCCTTACAGCACAATCGTTCTCGCTGCTGCGGCGAAGCACTGCTGCACTTGGGGGGAGGGGACCAGTCTGTTTTTCCTTCCGAAGGGCCTCGAATAAGCAACCCGTTCCTCCTTCTGGGCGCCTCTGTCAGGTCGCGCCCCCCCGTGCCCTGCGCACCACCATCCACTCGCCCACACACACACCCATCCCTGCAACGGCTCTTCCCAACTTTCCGTCGTGCATCTCTCTCGCATTCACTCACACAGCTGCTGCTGCTGCCTTTCCTCTCACGATCGGCGCTGAGATCGTCCGAGGATGCGGTCCATGCGCCGAGACAGCACAAACGACAGGACCTTGGCGGACTGTGCGGCTGCGTCTTCCTTGAAACCAAACACCGTCCATCCAGCTGTCAACGCCCAGCAGGCTGCACGCCGGTCCCAGTAGCAGAGAGTGACAGAGTGACGGACACAGAGAGAGTGCGGAAAGGGCTCTCTGCCTGTCTGTCTGCCTGTCTACTAGCCTCCAAGAAGCTCTCGAGCTCATTTTTGCGTCGATTGGCGTTTCGCCGACATTGCCAAGATGCGTCCGTCCAGGTCTGCCCGTTCCGACGCGCTGTCCACCTCGGGCTTCCCTTTTCTTCAAGCTTCCCCATCGTTTGTTTTCCCTTGACCGTTGGCGTCTTTTTGTTTCCAACTTCTGTTCTAGACCAAAATAGTTGTGCCTCTATTCTTCTTTCCTTTGAGTGTGTGTGTACTTTTCTCTTCTCCATTACTCCCCCTTGCAGAGGGAAGCTCGTCCACACCACCAAGATTCGACAGGCGAGAGCATCCTGATCGGAATCATGGCTACCGCCAACGAATCTCTCTACTCTCAATCATGGGGTCCTCTCGACACCCTCCAGGCCATCCCGGGCCCGCTCGAGAAGCCGGTGCCGTACTTCATCACAGCATTCCTGCTCTTCATCTTCTACTTCTCCGTCCAGCAGGAGAAGCCGTCGATCGCGTCAAATGCGCCGATGCTGGCACCGAAGCCCAGGTGGGATTTCACGGGATTGAAGGTCAAATATGATTTCGCCGTCTTCGGCCGCGCCGTCATGATTTGGAGGGCGAGGCAGAAGCCCGACGAGCCGTACCAGGTCAACACCGAGACTGGCGAGCTGACGATCCTGCCGCCGATTCCGTACGCCAACGAGATTCGCAACCACGACGACCTCAGCTTCGACCGTGTGCTTGACAAGGTAGGTCTCTTGAGAAGGGGGGAGTACAGGGGACGGTAATTGCTCACAGTCTGGCGTTAGAACTTCCACGCATACCTCCCCGGTTTCGAGCCTCTGAGGGAGAAGAACCCGTACAAGCCGGCGCTGAAGCATGTCATCCGAACGAGACTCACCCAGTTTCTCGGTAAGACAGACATCTCACGCCCGCAAAGACCTGCGCTAACTTTAAGACCAGCCAAGTTGACGGTCCCGATGACTGATGAGACAACGAAGGCCCTCAACGACATTGTCGGCGATGACCAAGGTACGTCGCAACACCGCTTCTGGGCACAGCGTTCACACAGCCCTGACTCGGAAAACAGAATGGAAGCCCCTCGTCGTCAAGCAAAACATGGTCAAGATCGTCGCCCGCGTCTCAACCCGCATCTTCGGCGGCGAGGAGCTCGCCCGCAACGACAAGTGGCTCAAGATCACCTCCGAGTACGCGCGCACCGCCTTCTTCGCGTCCGAGCTGCTGCGCATCTTCCCCAAGTCCATCCGCTTCGTCGTCCACCAGCTCAACCCCTTCAGCTGGAAGCTGCAGGGCCAGATGAACGACGCGCGCCGCATCATCAACCCCATCGTGGCGAAGCGCCGCCAGGCGAAGAAGGCCGCGGAGGACGCCGGCGAGGACGAGCCCGAGTACAACGACTGTCTCGAGTGGTGCGAGGAGGCGTCTGAGGAGCCCATCGCCGACCCTGCCGTCCCGATGCTTGGCCTGTCTTTTGCTGCCATTCACACCACCGCCGATGTTGTTACGCAGTCCATGATTGATCTTGCCCGCAACCCCGAGTACTTCGACGTTCTCCGCAAGGAGATCGGCGATGTGATCCGCACCGATGGATGGAACAAGATGGGCCTGTACAAGATGAAGGTTCTTGATTCGTTCCTCAAGGAGGTCCAGCGCATCAACCCCATCAGCATGGGTGAGTTCATCTCCGGTCTCTTGTTACGTGACTTGCACTAACACTGTATACAGCCGCCATGCACCGCGAAGCCACCAAGCCCGTCACCCTCTCCAACGGCCTCGAGCTCCCCGTCGGCGCACGCATCACCGTCAGCTGCCAGCAAATGTGGAGCTCGCAAGTGTACCCGGATCCTCAGCGCTTCGACGCCTACCGCTACCTCCGCCTGCGCGAGAGGCTCGGAGCCGGCAACGACGGCGCCGCCCACTTCGTGTCCACGTCGCCCGAGCACCTCGGTTTCGGTCACGGCCAGGTAAGCCGCTTCTCCAGCTGTATCTCTCATCGCACATGGCTAACACACGTCAGCACGCTTGCCCCGGCCGCTTCTTCGCCGCCAACGAGATCAAGATCATCCTCTGCCACCTCATCATGAAGTACGACTGGCGCCTGACAGGCGGCGACTACAAGCCGAAGACGACAACCTTCGGCCTGACCAACGAGACCGACGCCAAGGCGACGGTTGAGATCCGGCGGAGGGAGATTGACGTGAGCCCCAAGGCGTAGACGGAAACGCTGTGAAAACGGGCAGCGAGAGTGAGTGGCTCTGTGCGCTGTAGCTGATGCAAAACATTCGGACATATGGCATTTTTTGTGGGAAATTGTTTGCAGCATCGGTGGAAGGGGTTGGGAGATGCATGTTCATGTTGTTTCTGGCGGGAGGGGGGCGATGTGTAATCTGGAAAGGTCGGACGATGGTCATAGCAATGAGCCACTCAGATTGGAGCTCGTCGGCGTTCGATAGATTCATTATTACTTTTTGTTTGCAAACACAACCTGGGTTAATTCAGCTCAAAGTGAAATTGGAATATGGCTGTGATCTGTGACGAGTATTTTCCAATACAGTCCTCCACTTGCGACAGTAAAGACCCTCATGTTATGATTTGATGTGTCACACATGTGCTTGATCAAGCTTTGTTGAGGGCACATGCTTCGTCTGATCCACGGGCCGCGATTACCAGACACCACGTTGCGTCGCAGGTCACGTACTGGCTCTGCTTCACCGGCGGTTGTGGTCAGTCCCGCGCACGGGAAATACCTCCAAGGAGCTCTGACAGATTGAAGAAGCGTTGCGGCCTTCTGTGCAGAGAAGCATGCTCGGGTGGCGATGATGTAGAGCGTTGGCTGGCTT